TCGAAAGATGTATGGATCAATATAATTCTTTTTCATATAGATGCATGATATCATTATCTATCATTTGGTATATTTTTTTTATAAATCTGACTTTTTACCTGCCTTCAGAGGGGGGTTCAAAATGACAACTTTTTCACAAAAAAGTTATAGCAATATAAAATTAAAAACCCAGCACAGGGGTGTCGCGGCACAGTGGTGACGTGGCATAGATGGATCAAGTATAATGATATCTGACAGTGATTAAAATCACTATAAAAAAAAAACGCTTCGATGCAAATCTTTAGACAGTGTTTAATTTTAAAAAATTGATGGATTATTCCAAAAGCTACATGATCTACTATTTCCTTATTAATATCCTGATTAAGATAAAGTATATCGAATGAAAAAGAGATTATTAAAAAATAATATTTCTCATAAAAAATTGTATTGATCCATACACTTTTCAATATGTCATAGCATTATAAAGTTAAAAATGTAAAAAATAAAATCGAGAATTTTCACACAATAATAGCATTTGGTAGCCATTTTCACCATGAAAATAAAATAAAGTCCGAAATTTTTTTTCTGCATAATAAAGTATATTACATTAGCTTTAATTTAAGATATATATAAAAGTGTCAGACCTTCCGGAACACTTTCAAAAGTTACGTTGAAAAAGTTCTACTTTCTATATGCATTTTTATGTTTTGAATCCCCCCTGTATTTAGGGAAATGGTCCGATTTAAAAAAAACAGTATATCAAATGAAAGATCTATATAAATACTACTTCTTATAAAAAAATTGTAATGATCCATACATTTTTCAAAAAGTTATAGCATAATAAAGTTAAAAATGGAAAATACAAAATCGAAAATTTTCACACAAAAATAGCATTCGGTAGCCATTTTCACCATGAAGATAAGATAAAGTCCGAAATTTTTTTTTTTCATGATAAAGCATATTACATTAGCTTTAATTTAAGATATATATAAAAGTGTCAGACCTTCCGAAACACTTTCAAAAGTTAAGTTGAAAAAATTAATTTTTTGTCACATATAAAAAAAAATATACTAAATGATAGAGAAAGACATTATGCGTCTATAAAAAAAAGAATTATATTGATTTGGTTATTTTTAAAAAAGTTATAGCAATTTTAAGTAAAAAAAATTGAAAAAATATCGAAAATTAGCGATTTTTAAATTTGTAATTTTTTTGGAGGTTTCCCCCATTTACAGGGAACGATGGAATTTTTTTCAATTTTTGAGGGTAATGTCTTCGACTAGATACAATTTGTGATCTTTTGACGTATCATTGAAAGAAATCGGATCGGTGAGAGCTGAGAAAAAGTGGTAACAGACACAAAAAAAAAAAAAAAAAATAAACACATCTTAGTAAAACCAATACTTTCTCAGCTTCGCATCGAAGCTAAAATATAAAAAAGGATTTTTTTACGAAAAACGTATTTTTTTTATTAACTTTGATGTGTGTTTTCACTGTAAAGACACAATACAGTCCGAAATTTTTTTTCCCCATAATAAAGTACATTGCATTAGCTTTAATTTAAGATATATACATAAGTGACAGAGTTTCCGGAACAATTTCAAAAGTTAAGTTGAAAAAGTTCTACTTTCTATATCCATTTTTTAAATTTGAACCCTCAGTATATAGGGAAATGGTCCGATTAAAAAAAAAAGTATGTCGAATGTACTTCCAAAAAAATTACAAATTTATTTTATAAATCTGACCGTTTACCTGCCTACAGGAAAGATTCAAAATGACAACTTTTTCACAATAAATTTACTTTTTCAACTTAAATTTTGAAAGTGTTCCGGAAAGTCTGACACTTATATATATATCTTAAATTAAAACTAATAAAATATATTTAATCATGGAAAAATAAAATTTCGGACTTTATTTTGTCTTTACGGTGAAAATAGTTACCAAATGTTATTTTTGTGTGAAAATTCTCGATTATATTTTGTAATGTAATGCAACATTTATAATTATTTTCTTAACAATCCGACATAATTTTCCATGAAATCAAATAAATTTATTTTCACCCACACAGAGATGGATGTTTAATATTTCTCTGGGTACTAAATAATAAAATTTACTTGGATTACTGTCTTACATTACATGTTATAAAATGTAAAAATATCTATGTCTGAGACGTCCACGATCCCTCCTCAAATCTATCCCTGTACCCATATATTTACATGAAATCATGCGATAGTTTTTCGTGTCTCCTGAACAGTAATTAAAACGGAATTAAGCTATAGATAAATGATTTATAGAATACTAGACGATTATTTAGACGGTAAATAAATTATTTAAATGATGGGAAGTGACCTGTAAGTTAAATCCACAAAAATTATCAGCTGAGTTAAAATAACTACTTTTATTATATAATATTCTTTGAATGCGTTGACATTAATTTATACGTAGCTTGTTTTAGTATATTATAACGGTTATTTTGTTTCGTCATCTCTTTCTTGTTTTGCCTACTGCGCATCCATATAACTCTGGCCTCATCGTTACCTATAACATTTTTATTTTGATAGGGCGGAGTTAACCCCAACTAATATCCACATGATGTGAGTATGCGTGTAATGCGGCATAAAGATATGTTTGTTGCTGTAGAATCCGACCGCTGCCCACTAAAACGGTACTGTGTAATCATAGTATTGCTATAAAGCCGGTATTGGACAGAATGTGAATAGTAGTCATACGATACTCGTCTGCTCTCATGTACGCGGACACTCTGTATATGTTCTAGTAACTGTATAGTTGTTCGTTTATATTGTATCGTTTACTGCAATATTATGTTATAGTATAAGAAGAATTAGTCTGTGATTAATATTAGTTAGTTAGTTTTAGATTTGTCGCCGTTACGTTTTAAATATATTTAACATTTTGGTTGGATTGGCACACGATTACCTGCAATCGTCTTAAACGTGATAATTTATTTAAGTTTTCCTGTTTTAATATAAATTAACAATTTTTTTATTTTTAAATCCAACCAATAATCATACAGTATGATACGTCTTCTTGAAAACGCGAACCATTCGTACGTATTCGACTTCGAAGAAAATTTTCATTATGAATGGACTCGGCAATGGATGACAGAAAATTGGACTAATGGATTTTATTATTGTACAATTTATGCAATGCTTGTTTTTGGTTTACGGCGTTTGATGCGCGACCGTGTTGGATTCAGATTGAAAGGGTTGCTAGTTCTATGGAATACAATGTTGGCCACATTCAGTTTAGTTGGATTTACTAGAACAGCCCCTGAACTTTTCAGAGTTCTAAACAAATATGGTTTGCATCATTCGGTTTGTGTTACTAGGTAAGATTAATAAATATATCAATTATAATCTCTGCATGAATATTTTTAATTAATAATATTTAGTTGGGGAAAATGTTAAATAACAATTTTCTATCATGAATTATTTTTTTAGTGAAGGTACAATATTATTACAAGCTATTTTTTTGTAAAGTTATGTATTATACTTTCTAGAATGAATTTATAACATCATTGTCTAATTCTTTATTTAAGTAAATCTAAAGGATATGTATAAATATTTATTTCTGACGTTTAAATAAAACTTATTTTTTTTTTTTTGTACAACTGTTTTGTGATCCTAAATTTTGTGTATATTTTGGTCATGTAATAATAATGCCTCATTTTACTTTTCTGTAATTAAAATTATCAAGAATGTAATATTTTTGTATTGTCAATTTTTTTGTTTTTGTAAATTTTGGTAGTTGTATTTGGTAAGGTGAATCACAGGAGAATGAATAGTTAAGAGGTTTTTATATTTTGAAGCTCTTTATTAGTTCATTATATTTTGATATCACTCTCATAAAATTAATAAAATATTTGTTTTCTAAAAAAATCCTCTTATAATAATAATGTAAAAATATCTATTATTAACTATTAAAAAATGTAAATTTATTATGTTGATTATTTTTATGCTGAGATTAGAGTTATATAGTGAATGAAAAGCTAATGATATTGTATCAATAATATTGATTTTGCAGTTGGATTTAATTTAGTGATGTACTTTTTATAAAAACTACTAACAAAAACTTGTTACAATCAGAGATTAGATAATTTTTTTAGTTATTAACAAAATAGTGTTTTGTTCACTAGTGATATTATCCTAGTTGTGTTTAAAATTATTTTCTTAAAAATATTAAGTTATAAGTGAAAGTTGACTTGGCATGACCATAGATATTTTTTATTAATCACTTAGATTATATTATCATGAAAAATCATCTGAAAAAATTAATTTGTTCTGTAAAGGTAACGAATAAGAATTTGTAAATAATTATTTCATCTTTTAAATTATGTATTTATTGTTATTAATCATTGGAAAATCCTAAAAAAAGTAATTGTGGTTATTGAACTAACTTTCTAAATCTATGAAATCGAAATGTAATATTTTTATTTACACAATTAGTTTAAGTCATTGTAAAATAGTAAAAGCAGGAAAGAATTACTAGAAGATATATTAAAATTTATGAACTGTAAATAAAGGTTTAAAATAAAAACCAGATCTTATTATTACTTATATGAGACAAATTATTTGTTACTATTTGAACTATATTCACAATTTATGCCTATACATTTTTTTTTTATCTTGTATGTTTTGTAGATAGTTACAGCATACATGTATATTTATACAAATTTTAGTGCTAATAGAGATAAAGATAGTGAAATAAAAATTTGAAAAATTACAATATAAGGGCCATATCTAATGTAAACAGTGTTGATTTTCATAAAAAATTTAATGAAATTGATGATTAGTTTATAGAATACTTTGTTGATTTATTAAATATGAATAAAATAGAATTTCATGTATATACATAATTATTTAGTATATATGAAGGTTATATTTTATTTACAATAATAAAATCTTCTAACAATTTAAAAACATCAACTTGAATATTACCATTGTGTTATTAAATAAATATTAGTTTATTAAAATGTTTTAAGTTATTATTTTTACCTAATTCATTAAAAAAAGGTTTTTGTTTGTTACAATTTATAGTACTATTACTTATAAATACAATGTGTACTTGAATTTCATATGCCTATTAAAATTAAATATAGTTATACTATGTTATCATTTTAGTGTTAATTTGTAAAATATTTTTTTACTTCAATAATTTAATTTTAATTATGTAAGGTGCCTCAAGTATACAATTTAATGGAGATCATAAAAGCACTATTCATTTTAAAATAATATCTGTGTTAAATAGTGTTAGTTGATTGTGCCTCAATTGTGTACATAACAAATATTTGTATTATAATGTCTAGTGGTCATGGTTAGAGTGGATCATTTGAATTTTCTAAACAACCCCTAGGATATAAAACAAATTATTTTTGTCACTTGAAAAATTTAAAAATTATAGATAACCAAGTTTGCACAGGATCATTCAATTTCTGTATCCTTTTCTTAGATTATAATTTTGATTATTGTTAAAACTTAGTCATAATAGAATTTAAGCAAAAAATCAGTATAATTGCATATATTTTAAATACTCTTAGAATGTAAATAAAATATTACATATATATAATTAACTTATATAACTACAAAAATTAGAAATGATTATCATTAATGTTAAAAATAAAATTCTTTGATCCATTTTTAATTTATCTTGGTATGAAATTAAAAATTAAATGATTTTTCATTTTTGTGGTAGGAATACAATAAGGAGAAACTTCTCTTTTTACTATTTACTTAAAAAAAATATGTGTAATCAATGGCGTATTTAATGGGGGTCTAAAAGACCTTAATCCTCTCATTGGCCATGCTAAACAAATATTTTAGATGAAAAATTAAAAAAAAAAGTTACTTCAACTTAATATTATTTTTCTATATTAGCCTCTATTGACGATCTTGTGACACCTCTGTGTAAAAATGTCCAATCTTATTTTTACTTAGTGATAAAGTAAATATTTCTTTAAAAAAATTGTTGATTATTTTTTGTTCAATCTTTTATATTTAAGAATTTTTGTCGTGTAAACCCAAAATGGTATTAACCTTATAGTTCAAACGTGATAAATATAAACATCTCTTTGTTATTTTGAAATTAAGCAATTATATAAATTACTTGTTATATATATATATTAGCTAATACAAATGTTATTGTCTAGCGATTTCCTGTTTTACCGTGTTCGTAAACATTTTTTTTATACACAATGATATTGTTTTGTTTTTGGTTAAATTACATTTGTTAGTAAAATATTCTTAATTATAATCGTGATAAAAGTTTTGATCTTTTAAGTAAATTACATTGGACAGTTTTTATATTTATAAAATGTATATAATTTTATATATTTCTGGGAACGTATAAAGAAAATAAAAAATGTCTATTTTATACTTAAGTGACAGATTTCGATATTTTACATTTTAAGTTAATAATTATAACACGTTTTACTTGAAAATTGGTAAAATTTAAACAATATTTTCATATGTATTGATTATATTAAGTTTTAAAGATAATCTTGTAAACCCACTAATTAAACTACTAATAATTGAGAATTTTAACTATTAATTTTTTTTTTGTATTTTTTCAATAGCATATAGACTGATAGATAATATACCGTAAAAAAATTTAAATTGTCCTCATATAAGAACAAAATTACAACGAAAATTTAAAAATCTAAATAGCTAAGAACTTTGATATTTAAACGATTGGAATCAGAGATTGTAACTGTTTGATTTGTTTTCGTTTTTGGTTTTGGATTATATGTGGTCTTAGCTTTCAGTTAGAAAATTCAGAAAAAATCAGTTTTAGTAAAGTGGTATCAGTCTATATTTATACGGAGGGACTGAAACTGTTCGATATTTTGTGGTTGTTAAATTTTTGTAAAAATGAAAACCAAATATCAGTTTTAATATGATTACGTAGTTACGTGGAACTAAAATTGTATTAATTAAGAACTTTGATATAAAAAAGAAAAATCAATATAGTATTAAATTTTACAAGCTGTCTCAGACAAATAAGAAAATGAATAATTCTCTTATTAACCTATTATTTACGTCCAGTTCTTATTAATATAAAAAACAATCAGGCATTTAATTATTCAATTGTTATTATTTTTTTATATGACCTATATGACTTAAGCTAAGTTTAATTTTAAATAAATAAATTTTGATTTAAAAGTTAATTATTGAATTTTATTATATTTTAATAACAAAAAAACTTAAATTTATCTAATAAAATTAATTTAGTTTAATTCATACTTTTAATACAAAAATCGATATTGATAACTAAAGTAATTATAGTGAATTTATTGTTCTTGAAAAATTTTATTGTTGATGCTTGATTTAGAAAAGGGTTTTAATTTACAAATGTGAATCAATTAGAGTTGTTGAATTATACAGACAGTCATAGTATTTTCATGCCTTTCATAAGGTCGTATTTATAATTGATTATTATGAATAAATTTTACTTAAAGTTTTCTTAAGCATGTTATTTAAATAATTTAAGTACAGCTTATTTATATGAATTAATTATAAATATGACCTTAAGTATTTTTATTTTGCACGATAAGATTATTTTTATCACGTGATAAAATAACTCGTTAGGAATTATTCAATTTTTTTGAAAAGTATTTGAACTGTGTATTTGTTTTCTAACATTGGGTAATGCATTGTTAAAATATTGTCAAGGATATGTCAATTATAGATGATAATTTTAAAGAATTATTGTATAAACACGTATTATAATTATTCTGTATTAACTTAAATAAAAAATGTTAATAATGAAACATCCTTATATTACTTAAAATTATTATTATTAGAACTGGAAATGTTGAAAAATTATTTTTTAAGTGGTCAGTGGTTCTTTTATTTTTAATACAAATATTCCAACAATTATATATATAATTATTAACAGTAACACTAATTACAAAAAATAATTTTTCAACATTTTCAGTGATTATAATCATAATAACATTTTTTTTAAATAATGTTTTTTTTAACATAATTTTTTAAAATTGTTTTCTGGGTAACCGAAGAGTTGTTAGCGAGTCATAGTGGTCTGAAAATAAAAATGAAGCACTAAAATATTCCGTATTCAATTTGTTGAAAAATTAAATTTTTTTTTCATAAACATTTTACTATGTAGAATTATGAAATTTGAGGCTTGACTAAAAATTTTTTTTTATTTACCGAAAAAAAAATAAGTAAAAATTAACTTTAAAAAGTACATGTATTAGTAACATTTCATAATTTGATGTTCTCATAGCACTTTTTTGGATAAAAAAAAATTGTTGACGCTTAAATTTTATTATTTTACTTGAATGTAATGTACCTTTATCGAACTCTTTTTCCCATTAATGCCCAATTTAAATCTATTTCGGTTATACTTTTGCTACAAATCAATAAATAACACCCCAACAGCTTTTCTACTTTATCCTATTATTTTCTGTTAGATATCTTGCACAACAAAAAAAGGTTTTATCGTTTACTTTCCAGGCAAAAAATCAAATTGGTTCTTTGTTACTGATGTTTCTCTTCTTATTCTTTTGTCTATTACCTTTTCCCAAATTTCTATACTATAGCTTATAAGCTCATTGTAATTTTATGTTATAGTTAACAAATATAAAAAATGTATTTTATATTCCCAATTTTCATACTTATTCTGAGTTTACTTATAATTCTAATTTATAAATTCATATAATTTAAATATACAAAATAATTTTTTTTTTATTTTAGATAATTCATTTAAAAAAAGGTTCTCAAAATGTATTTTATTGATCACTAGGAAATTAGTGATTCTTTAAATTTTATTTAAGTTTATTTTTCATAAGTAATACAATAATATACATAATTAATACAGCATTTGCGTTTTTCATTATCACTTTAGTAGTGTACATTTTGGAATTTGTATTAAAAATTTTAATGTATTTACAGTTACGTAGAAGATGATCCAATCTCTGGCTTGTGGTCGTGGCTATTCGTTCTATCCAAACTACCAGAGTTAGGCGATACCATCTTCATTGTGCTGCGAAAACAACCTTTGATATTTTTGCATTGGTATCATCATATTACTGTTTTATTGTACACGTGGTTTTCATACATGGAGTTTACGTCTTCAGCCAGATGGTTCATTGTAATGAATTATTTTGTCCACTCTATGATGTACACATACTACGCCACGCGAGCAATGGGTTACCGACCACCTACTTCGGTATCTATGTTTATAACTGCCAGTCAATTAGTACAGATGTTAATCGGATGCTTTATTAATTACACAACTTATAATTACTTAAAGACCGGTGGTCCTCAATCTTGTAGAGTGTCAAAACTCAACATCACTCTGTCATCTACTATGTATTTTAGTTACTTAGTCCTATTTGCAATGTTCTTTTATAACTCTTATATTAATAAACAAAGTGCGAAAAAATCAAAATCTCATTGATTTTATATTAATATTAATTTTGATCGTTACTGCCACTATAAGAGTGCTTATAGATAAAGGAATTTAATTGGTCATCAATATTTTGATTTTAGTTGTGTGTAATATAATAATTTATTTAAATTATTATTAATAACACTAACGTGTAAATGTTAAAATATACTGTCCAGTTTCATAAAAAAAATTTGTTAGTTTTAAATTTTGTTTTGAATTGTGTAAAGTGTAAATTATTTATCGTCAAAATAATTTCAATATTTATTTTATAAATTCTCTTAGTTTAAATGTTTATACGGTATCAAGTACACTAAAATATTTTGTTCGATATTTTCTATTTGTTACAGTTTAGATTTTGTATAATAAAATTGACTGTTTTTATTTTTACTGTGTTATGATTTGTGTTCTTTCATTAAAGCTGTTCTTGATCCATATTTATTAGTTTTATTAAATTAAATAAAAATCAATTTTATATTTAACAAAAATTATTCAATGTAAGCATAGTGTCTAGGAAATATATGCCTTTGAGTCACTCAAACTCGAATAGTGTATTCACATCTCAATTGAGTGTTTGTTTCTTTAGTATTTATTTAAACTGTTAAAAAGTGTAAAACTTGATTTTTACACTTGAAATATAATTTTGCATATTTTAAACGGCTAATTCTTTTAAATCTAAATTATAGAATATTAAGTCTTGTTTTCGAGTAAAATTTGAACGATAACTTAAGTTTTTATCCATTTTTTGTAAGATTTTTTTTGCAGGATACCATAGTAAAGCTATAAGTCAAGCTCTATTTTTAAACAATAATTAAGTATAAAATTATATTAATGTTCCAATAAATACTATTTATTGTGTATTATAAATCTCGTATTATTTATTTATTTATATGGACAAACGTCCAATTTACAATAATTCAATAATAACAATGATATGATATGATATAATATAATACAAAACAATTTAATTTAAATAATAATTTGAACTTGATAAGTATAATTATAAGTAATTAGTATTCAGACCTCTTACGTTTTGATAGTATCAATTTAAGGTTTCGTAATTGTAAGTTAATTTATTGAATTGATAATATTTGGATGTGCCTTTGATGTATTTAATGATGTGATCCTTTTCTCTATTAGTTCTACGGTTAAGAAGTTCTTGGTGAAGGTGTGACATGTATTCTTGTTATTGCTTGGTCCGGTCAGAAGAAAATCGAAGGTCCTTTCATGTAGGATTTGATTTTAATTTGCTTTGATATGAAAATATCTCTTTAATTGGAAAAAATAATTTAAGTGGTCGTGGCTTAGTAGTATTGAAGGAGGAAGGTTTGCCCAGACGAGTGATGGAGTTCGCTTTAGTCTTCAACCTAAGAAAATCAAGTATATTTTGAACTGATTTAGAATCGAATTTTGTATTAGTTAAGTCATTGAGAGTTTCAAGTAAATTAAAAAGCAATACATTTTTCAACCGTGATTGTCTATCGATTATTTCTTATATTAACTCATCATTAATTAATATTGATGAATTTTTTTTTTTTGATGATTCAAATTTAGTTTATGTTATCTACTTTAGTCCTTAGAAAATCATGTTGAGATGATAGATCGTTGAATTTCGTGGTAAGTTCATTAACTTTATTAGAGACGGATGCTAATTTTTCAGAAAGAGAGTTGATGGATGTTATTAATTTATTATTTGAAGCTTTTAATTCATTTATAGATTTAATTAAAATATCATTTTTATCTTTATAAAAAAAGTGTGAGAAATTTTTTTGCAGCTTAAAAATTATTTTTGTGTATTATAAAAAAGTATAGATTTCTAGGTATCTATGCTGAGATTTGCGTTGAAGACTAAATTGAATACTTACGATAAATTATTATAAAATTTGTGTTTCATAATAATACGATTTCTTTGAAGTAATAGCTTTACAACAAAACCAGACAACTCTTATTGGAATTTAATGATCTATTTAATAATACCTTGTTGCAACGTTACACTCGCAATTATATTTTTCTTTGATGATAAGAATTATCAATGTTTTCACTTTTAAAACCTATGGTTAAATGTAGTTGCTCTTGAAAAACTTGCCTGACCTAAGTTTTATAACTAGTTCTAACAATATAGTACGTCATAAACTAATAACTAGAAATCTAATATTCTGCATAATAATTATAATTATTTTTGTACAATTATTATATAAGTCAAGTATTATCTTTTAATTAATTGATGCTTCTATTTTTTTTATAAATTTACGTCTTAATAAATTTATTATCCTTCTTATTTTCAGGAAAATAATTGATTACTTATCAATAATTTCAGGTATAAATAACTTGTGTTAATTTTTAACAATAATGCTATTAAATATTAATTGTCATGTTTATGTCGAGTTTATTTAAATCCTCGCTTCAATTATGCTTTTACATAAAGTTAGTTGTCACACAGTGTAATTTTAATTACAATTATAAATTGTTGACAGATCATATTATGTAAGACTTTTTATATTTTAATAATAAAAAATTAAAACTATATTCGGTTTATGAAAATAGTTTGTAAAACAATTATTGCTTTCATCTTTGCTTATACAGAAAACAATAATTTAATATAGAATGTACTGGACAAATTAAATTAAGAGATAATATTAACTATAATGTAATTAAATGTAAATATATTGATCAGAAAGAATTTTTTTCTCAAAAATAATTGTTTAAATCATATGCAATAGTGTAATAAAGTATATTCCTTGAAAAAAAGATTTTTACTACCATTTTAATTATTTAAAAACCCGAGACTAAATAAATATCCCCCTCCTGTTATAAAATTATGATATTCTTTTTATTTGAAATTGTTTTTAAGAAATGAATAATCAAAAAAAGAAAAGATATCGTTATAAATAAATTTGCTTTACATTCTCAATTGTGAAAAATTCTAAATACGCGCCACTTGTTTAGAATTTGTTTTATCACAAATAGGACCAACACTAAAATAACTGAGCTTTATGTTAAACAATTTTTCGAGGTATTTAACAACAATCTTATTAAGACATCAGTATTTAAATGTCTTACAAGAATTCGTAAACTTTTTTATGTACTTTTTTTTGTAATTATTTCTCAGAATTATATTTAATTTTTTCCATTCAGCATTCACCTCAATAAAGGTTAACATGAATTCATATTAACATTGATGTAGCTATTACATATTCAAACTAAAATAGCATTGACTGATGTCATTAATAGTAGTAACCATGGTTACTACTTGTATAAATATTAAACACATTATTGGTTTGTTGTTGTTATTCTATTTTAAATAAGTTATCCATGAAATATTTTATAAGAATAATTTTTTATTTATTTTTTATAGGAACTTTAAAATATCAGTTAATAATAAACTTTGTAAATTCAAATTTTAAAGTATTATTTTAAAGTAGTGTTACACAATTGAAAAAATTCTCAAAAATATGACAACTAATCAAAAGTATGTACTATAACAACTTTGTTATTGAAATTATTTTATTACGAGTATAAGTATAATATAAGTTAGTTATTTTAAATGTATAGTAAACGTTTCTCAATTTGGGTAGCTAAAATTGTTATTCGCCACGTTTAGTTTACCAATATAATTTTTATAAAAAAATATTTTTTTTTGTAATTTTCAAATTTTAATGAAAATTTAAATTATAAAATTTTACTTTTATTTAAATTAATACAATTATATATTTTTACTGTTTTGTGATTTATTACATACACGAGACGTGGCATGTGATCTAAGTACCAAAAAGTTTTTTTTCAAAAAATCAATAAAAAACATTACATTTTCTATATAGAGATTTATCATTGGGTACTCGATTTACAATTTATAAATAATTATTGAAGTTGAATTTTTTTCGCAGTATTAACGCGGATATACAGGTTAATTCGATATAATAATAATAATTGTGGATTTTTCAGCTCTTGGCCACTTGGCTTGACTGCCACCGCCTAACTTAATTAGTTAAGCATGTATTGTAACTCAAATCTTAATAAAATAAAGGGAATTGAAAAGGTAAGTTGAGTAGGATAAAAATGAGAGTTACTTTAATTCGGGGCGAGATCGAGGGTCATAAAATAACATAAATATAGACTCTTCTTGATTTTAAAATCTTACCAGATAATTTTTCTTGGTTCTTATAATATCTTAAGTGATAGTATTAATTAATGATTGATAAATAAAATAACACAATTCGATTTAGTTCACAACTTTAATACGTAAAAACTTCGACAATGATGATCATAATGTTCTAGTAACGTTTTCTAGTGCACGATAAGAATAGGCCAGAGTAAGGGTATACTCTGCCTTTTGATAATACTTGAAATATACAAAATATTACAGATGAATAGTTTATAAATTATTTTGACATTTTATATAAAACATCAACATAGTTTTTTACACTTAAGATTAGGGTTGATACAATGTAATTAATTATTAAAATTAGAATAAAAAAGATGACAAAAATAATTTATAGATTTCTTTTCGAAAAGAACGATTTTATAAGTGACTATTAATCGATTTATGATTGAATTGTGTATATTATAATGTAACTAAATAGTATGCGTTTGTTGAATGTTTTTTTAAAATGTTTATTTAAAAATTTTTGGTTGAAAAGGATTATGTTTTTCTAAGAATAAGAATATAATGTATAAATAGAAATGATAATTATTTTAAGCGATAAAGTTAAATAATAGATCATTATTGTGGATACAAACAGGGTAGCCTAGTGTTATCCTATGTTATGGTAGTAACCATTTTATTTCAACACATGTATACAGAGTAGTTCATGAAGTATTGTTATTATCTACGGATTTTTATGTAAATGCATATTTTTTAATAACTTAGCAAGAATAATTGGCGCCGTTTCGTAATGCGTAGATTGTAAATATAATTCTTAAAATCACATATTTAGTTATTATTGTATAACAATTGCATTTTTTAATATTAAAAACATTTTTTTTCAATTTTGCGTTGTTGCAAAAAAAAAAAAAATTATTTTTGAAATTTTTTGTCAAAGAGATTTTCTACGGGAATGTTTTTATAAATTTAAAAAAATGATCACTTTTACATCCTACTATTTTCCGAACTTAACATGTTACAATGGTGGCCCTCTTTCATACGTTAGGGAGTCAAAAATAGTTTTAGGCTAGGCCAATGATGGAAGGGGCGGGTATTATGGCCGTCTTGCACCAGACACCAGACACCATCAATAAGAAAATCACAAGAAAAATATCGTTACATGTTTTGATCAAATAATTGAAAAATTATGTTTCTTATCAAAAATTCTTTTTGGCAGTACTATTCTATGATTGGGTTTGGATTTTGTAGTTTTAATATATTCTTATAATTATAACTATAAATAATAGTTTACCAAATATATAAACAAAAATGAACTTCTATGCTTATATTTATTAATATTTTTTGTATAAAAAATCGAGCTTAATTCGTTATTATTATCTTCATCTTCTTGTTTCTGTCCAAATTATTTGGCTCTACCATTCGATTTGACAATATCTTTACACCGACTATTCACTTGTCACTACCTCATTATAGTCGAGAGAGTCAGTAAGGGGGCAAGGTGTGCACTACTGGTAAACCTATTTGGGAACTAACAACAAACATCGCAACTAAAAATCAGCGATCGGCGTCATCTGAATGAACCACTGCTCTATATCACATTCCGTTATAAATAAAGTTATTATAAATACTTTATCGCTATAAAATTTATTATGCTACATCAATTTTTTATGAGATATAATAAATTAATTGTTCAGCTGTTTACAAGATAATATACAGGCTCGGTTTAAGGCCCACGAGTAATTGGAATCTACAAAAAAAAGAACCTAAGTCCTGTTTTCCGCCTAATTGGTAAAATAACTTTAAAAAATTCAAATTTATATTATTATTGATTGTATTATCACCTGGAGTTTTTGTTTGTGTTATAATAAAAACATTATTTACAGTTTCTATGAAAAAAACTTTTCTTTAAGTCCATTACAAAATCTGTCACTAGAGTTCAAAATAAGTATAATCCGAACCTTATTAAATAGAGACTACTTATAAAAATTGCAATAAAAATATATATAATTATAATTTTGAATTGACCTTATAAATAATTATTTAATAATAATAAAATTAAATTAAAGTAAACCTAAGAGGTAAATTTGGTTAAAACGGTAACTTTTAGTTAAAAGATTATCATCATCAGGTTATTGAAGATAAAAATTCTCTTAATCAAAACTAAAAGGTAAATAAATCACAATGAAAAAAAAAAATCAAAAAATTGCATAAGGGTAATTAGGGGGACTCAACCAAATTCTACCGTAACTTCCTAAAAATTATAAAATTTTCATGTACATGTAAATATATTTTTAAGGAAGCAAATATTTTATTTTGAATATATTGATGTGATAAAAAATTTGGTAATATTAATGAGGTGTAAGATAATATAAAAAGTTTAAGATAATACATTTTTTCAAATTTGTATTTTCAATGTTTTTATAAATCTACGAAATATGATAAAAGGGATAGATATAATATATATTTATAAAAGATAAAATAATCCTATAAAATAGTTATCATTATTATTTTTAAATGTTTAAATAATTCAATAAACACATGATTCTTATGGTCGTATCATAAGACATCCGATTGTATTTTACATAGTCTTTTAAACTAATGAAATTATAATATAAGGTGTTTATTTTGTAATGAAATTTAAAAATTGTTATTGGATTAAAAAAATGTGATAATTTTTTATTTAGAAACCAGTGCAACATATACTATAACAAAATAATTAATTATTTAACGTCTTTTACATAATATATTTATATTAATTTTATAAATAATCATTATTTAAAACCATAAATGTACTTTACATTTCTTTCAATCAATAAACACTAAAACTAAATAAATATTGTAAAATCTGTTATATCATTATTATACTTACAAAGCCAATATTTTTTGAGTAAATATATTTATTCATTATTACTGATGTCCAAATAATCAGAATCTAATAATATTTATCCTGACTCAATATTTGTGTTGATAATTGTTATTTATGTATTTATATTTAATCAACAAAAATAAATTACAATAATCTGATAATACTTTTGTTAGTGATTCTCAGACAATATTAAATATTGCATTTTCATCAAATTATTCAAAATTGGATATGAAAACGACGGAGAGAACATTATTGGTTTTAGGCAACAAAAATGCAGTAAGTAAAAAATTGTTCAATTACGTTTGTTAAACGTAATAAATTTAGTGTAAAATAAAACTGAATTTAAATCGATTAGTTAAGTAAATTCTGTAAATTTCTTTCATTATGGTAATAAAACAAAACAGGACACTAATTTTTTTTAATTATAAAAATCATTGTAAATATGTAGAATAGATAATTCTCAAAAATTGGAAAGGAAAATAATAGAACCACAAAAAAAAAATAAATGCATAAATGCACCACAAGTGGGATGTGATGAAATAGACAAGGAAGAGTTTTGGAGAGAGATAGATAAGGTGATACAAGGGGTACCTGGCAATGAGGATGCGGTGATAGGTGGAGATATGAATGGATATATAGGTAATGAGAGGAGAGGATATAAAAGAGTACATGAAGGATATTGTTTTAGTGGGAAGAATGAGATTGGAAAAAGAATACTGGATTTTGCAGTACCGTATGATCTTGCTGTGGTTAACACTTATTTTAGAAAGAGAGAAGAACATTATATAACGTATAAGAGTGTGAGGAATANATAAATGCATAAATGCACCACAAGTGGGATGTGATGAAATAGACAAGGAAGAGTTTTGGAGAGAGATTGATAAGGTGATACAAGGGGTACCTGGCAATGAGGATGCGGTGATAGGTGGAGATATGAATGGATATATAGGTAATGAGAGGAGAGGATATAAAAGAGTACATGAAGGATATTGTTTTAGTGGGAAGAATGAGATTGGAAAAAGAATACTGGATTTTGCAGTACCGTATGATCTTGCTGTGGTTAACACTTATTTTAGAAAGAGAGAAGAACATTATATAACGTATAAGAGTGTGAGGAATAGATCGATTATTTTATGTGGAAGAGAGAGAGAGCGTTAAGCGAGTAAAATATTGTAAAATTATACCAGACGAGAGTGTAACTACACAACATAGACTGATGGTAATGGAGTTGTCGTGTTCCGGAAAGAGAATAAATAAAAATAGCAGAAACACAAGGTAAAAATCGGAGATACGTTGGTGGAAATTGAAAGGGGAAAATGAAAAAGAGATTGCAAAGACGGTAAAAGAGAGGACGGTGTGGAATGTCGAAGGAGACATAAATGATGTGTGGAATAGATTTGCTAGTTGTGTAAAGAATACTGCAAAGGAGATTGTTGGTGAGAGTAGGAGTAGAATGTCAGGAAACAAGGAAACCTGGTGGTAGGATGAGGAAATTCAAAAAATCATAGAAAGTAAGAAAAAGCAGTTCAAAGTATGGCAGAAGAGCAAAAGGAGAGAAGACTAGATGAAGTATAAACGCTTGTGCAAAGAAGCCAAGTGTGCACTAAGTAAGGCGAAGTTTAAGAGGTATGATGAATTGTATGATAGGCTAGGAACAAAGGAAGATGATAAAGAAATCTATAGACTTGCAAAGATAAGAGAGAAAAAGTCTAAAGATTATAATTATATAAGTTGTATAATAAATGTTAATAATAAGGTACTCTCGAGTGATAATGATGTGAAAAAAAGGTGGAAAGAGTATTTTGAAAAATTATTGAATAAGGAGTACCCAAAAGAGGCATTAGAGGATATCTCGTGGAATGAGGGACTGGTAGATTTAATTAGTGAGAAAGAGGAATAGGAGGCTGTGGCGTCAATGAAAAAGAATAAAGTAGTAGGACCAGATGAAGTGCCAGTAGAAGTATGGAAAATATTAGGCGGTGTTGGCATAAAGTGGTTGAAGGAACTTTTAAATAAAATCTCATTAGAAGGAAAAATACCAAATGAATGGAGGAATAGTATTGTGGTGCCGATATTTAAAGGTAAAGGAGACATACCGGAGTGTGGAAATTATAGAGGCATAAAGCTTATGAGTCATAGTATGAAAATTTGGGTAAAGGTAATAGATAAGAGAATAAGAAATGAGACATCGATGTCTGGTTTTCGGGTAAGAGTAGTAGTGCACCAAGGTTCTGCTTTAAGTCCTAACCACATAGTAAAATAATTTTAATATGAATAGGAAATTTCTTCTCACGAAGGGAGACTACAATGATGGGATACTTGATCTTTATTGAAGTTATTGAATCGAAATGAGATAAAAATCAAATGATTTGAAAATTTCTAACTCAAAAAGAATTCAGAAAAAAAAATCTTTGCCACAAATGGGTACGAACTTTGTACCCCTAGCGTGATAGAAATTTTACCGACTCAGCAACCATACGTTGCATTCATCGACCGAAAAAAATTGCAATTTAAGCTATTTCAAATTTCAAAGTTATTTATCTCAACTTAAAAAAACGAAAAAAATTTAAATAAATTTAACTTTCTATGCTATGTTTTTTAGTTTTTATTGAAGTGGACATGATGTTCATGCACTCAGACCAGTTGGTACATTGTGCGCATCTCATACCGAATTGTCTAGATTCGACTTATCCACCTAAGTGTTATCACCGAAGTGTTATTACATTATACTTATCATTGTATAAGGGTGCACCATCAAGTGACCCCTATGGATGACCAAAGTATCCTGTCTTTCCGGCGAAATTAAGTATCTCTCTGGGTCTTAGGTTTTTTATACCTTCTTTTTCAGGAAAAGGTTTTCTCAAGTAGTTTCATCTTAGTGTGGATAAGGCTTCACATTCGCACATAATGTGAAATGAGTTTTCCTCTTCTACTCCACACTTCCTGCATAATAGTGATTCCGATACCACCATTGCGTAAAGATGATTAAGCAAGTGACCATGCCCTGTCAGTAGACCAGTCAAAGTGCTTATTTGATGTCTAGTCATGTTATTAAGATCATCCAGCAGTGGACTGGGGTTCTTGATAAATATTTTGAATTGTCTAAGTACTATCAAGTATTTCCAGATTTTCCTGTGTTGTTCTCCATACCACCAATTCTTGGGTAGTGCTTTGAGCGATTGCTCAGTGATTCCTACCACTGTTTCTGGTCCAACATAGGTGTCACTGCTACTTTCCCGACTAGAAAGTCAGCTTTTTCATTTCTAGTGACACCTTTGTGTCCTGATACCCACGCTAGTGTAACTTTGTTGAACCTCGATAGTGATTCTAAAGTTTCCTTGCATTTGAGGACAAGCTTTGAATTCACCTGGTCATTACAGCATGCTTTCAAAGCCACTTGAATGTCTCTTAAGATAGTTATTTTCCTATTCCTGTATACGAGCAGGTTCTGATCCCCTACCAGTATCACTATCACCTCTGCTTGAAAAACAGAGGGTGTTATGCCCAATGACATACTGATATTTATTCGTGGCTTCAGACCCCAAATGCCAGTACCTACCTTTCCTAATTTTTTGTATCTATTTGTATATTTTACAAATCCTCCTTTTTCAGTCAGTTGTATATTCCATTAATATTCCATTCTCTACGTGTAGTGATTTCCGCTTTGTAGGGAATGTTATTCTTAAGAACCGGTTTGATATAGTCCAAGAGGTATTCCAAAAAGCCCTGGTCTATCTCTATTATTATTTTACCGTGATCTGCTGTGTCACTCTCCAAAGTCTTGTTGTGGAGTTGTAGAATCTTAGTGCTGTGGCTTTGGTGTGAGCTCTAATCTCTAGGTGCAGAGGAGGCAATCCGAGATTAGTGCCTCTAATGTGACCGTTGGTGTAGTTTTTAATGCTCTAGTGATGGCATTGGCGGCCATTCTCTGTATGCGACTAAGTTCTTTCCTAGCTGTAATGAGTGCTGTTCTCGTCCACCAGACTATTACACTGTACTATATCATATGATTATTCACTGAAGTATACAACCAATACATAACTATTAGTTTAAGACCCCATGTCTTTCTCAAGGCTCTGCTGCAGGTCCACTGTGTGGTCATTGCTTTTTTGATTCATGACTCAACATGTGATTTCCATTTTAGCATACTACCTAAAATAATACCTAAGTATCCGATTTTAAAATAATTTCTTGTCCATTCAGTGTAAAAGTATCAAGACTGTCTAGTCCTGTTCTTCTTCTAGTGAACATAACGACCTCTGCTTTATTTGGGTTAACAGATACACCATACTTACTACCCCATATCTGTATAGTGTTTAGTCTCTGTTGTGGTGTTAAGTCTGTAATAATGTCTGGAAATTCGCATAGGCTTTTGTATGCTATGTTAATTACATTTATATAATATTTATGAATATCTGTGTACTCCCCTTGTAAGGTATTTTAAAATAAAATAAAATACAAAATCCAGAATTTTAACTCAAAAATAGTATATTTTTGAATACGGTAGTAATTTTCATCATAAAGACAAGTCAAATATTTTTTTCAAAAAAAAAAAAGTATATTACTTAAGCATTAATTTAAAACCTATATAAAACTGTCAGTATTCCCGGAACATTTTGTTTGGAAACATTTTACTTTTGTTTGGTTATTTTTTTTAATGTCAGGTTAGCGTATTCAACAGGAAACTTAGACATTTTAGCACTCTCTAGATACATAACTAATGATAATAAAAAAATTAATTTCTTTTTTTTATAATAAAATAAGATCGGGTAAATTATTACTTTGAACTTTGAGTTACATACAATAAAATAGAGCAATTAAATTTATCTATTTGAAATTCATTAAATTTAAAATATGTTTATATAATCATAAATTTTGTTCGTAAGGCACCTTAAAATAAATTCAATGATTAGATAATGAATTCACTGAGATCATTTTTAAATTGCATTATTACTAACTTTTTCATTTTTTTTAGTGTAGGTCAATTTATACTTGGACTACACATTTTATCTTAATTTTATATTAATCTCAAGTTTGTAGATCAGGTGAAATGACCTAAACGTAATTAGAATACATATAGAATAAACAGTGTTTATTTAATATAGATAAAATAGAAAGATATTAATATCAAATTCAGTAGTGTAATTAGAAATTTTCTATAGGAAAGGTTTTAAAACATAGAATAGTGTAAATATTTAACTCTTTCACTATTAAGATTTTGGATCCTTATTGATCACTATTAATAGGCCATTGATTAAATTTATATTGATTTAATTATTTTTAAATCGGTTAATTAAGTTACTAACCAATTATAGTCATTATATTCATCAAGTTCTTTTTTTAAATAACTTAATTATTTACTTAAATTCTGAATAATATATCAGTAATTTATTTATTTTATCGTGTTGAGCTTTATTTATGAGGCTCCTAACTTATGTTAAAATTTTACTTAAATATTTACATAAATTTTAAATATCGTAGTTTTTTATCTATTTTTATTTATTAATTAATTGCTATTGTTTGTATTATGATGTATCGAGTTAATAGAATTTTTAAATTTTTTACTTAGACATTATAAATAGTTAAAAAAGTTAGATAAAATAACCGTATTAATTTTTGTTAATTCAAAAATCTAGGGGAAAACTACTTTAATACATCGATTTTTTGACAAAAGTGAAAAACCTAAGCCAACTAAAGGTTTAGAATATACTTTTGCAAGAAGATCTGGAAAGAGTTTAGTAAGTTATAATTTATTTTATTATTGATAGTATTTATAAATATATATATATTGAAATTATACTGAGTAACACAAAAGAAAAATGATCAAACCCAAAATATTTAACAATACAGTTGGCCATTTTTGTTTGCAGTCTTAAAATGAATTTTAAGTTAGGAGTTAATGAATATTAATAATGAATATCAATAAAAAAAAAGTAGTATTAATATTTGCATTATTGATGGTTCTAGATTAAATAATAACTGTGTTCTGTTTATATACCTGTACAGGGTGATTTTTTTATCATAACCCACTCAATTACTTACAGAATAAATATAATTTAAATTTTTTTTTTTTTTTGGTTTTCTTTAGTTCGATATTATTCTTGAATTATTAACTATGTAATACTTTTTAAGTTCATCCCTTATGCCTTGTAAGGGTGTCAACTTTGTTTTATTAAATGGAAACACATATTTTTAATTTGATAAAATGTTTGAGTTTTTAATTTAATAGTAAATGGCATTTGAATTTTTATTATAATTATTTATTTAATAATAATTTAATAATTTATTTGTTTATTAGATATAAACATTTAAAGTTTCAAATATTTGAGTTCATATACACGTATACTACACAAGGTATTATAAATACTGGTAGCTAATACCATCAATACCATAATACCATAATGACATCAATATACACAGCATTGTTACTATCAATAGTAGAAAGACACATTGTTGTGAGTTCATAAATACACTAACTGACTATATAAAAAGTATATCTATTGATAGTCATAATTGATAATAAACAATCCGTGACTGTGGCAGCGATGTCATAAAAACCATTCAGCTACCTGTATTTATAATACCTTTTGTATTATACATGTATATTAACTCGAAAATTTGAAACTTTAAATTTTTATATCTAATAAACAAATAAATTATTAAATTATTATTAAATAAATAATTATATTAAAAATTCAAATGCCATTTACTATTAAATTAAAAACTCAAACATTTTATTAAATTAGTAAATTTGTGTTTCCATCTAAAAAAATCCAGCACAGGGGCGTCGCGGCAAAGTGGTGACGTGGCATATTTGGATCAAGTATAATGATATCTGACAGAGATTAAAATCACTATCAAAATAAAACGCTTCGATGCAAATCTTTAGATAGTGTATAATTTAAAAAGTTGGTATATTATTCTAAAAGCTACATGATCTACTAGTTCCTTATTAATATCCTGATTAAGATAAAGTATGTCGAATGAAAAAGGGATTATAAAAAAATATTATTTTTCATCAAAAAATTGTGTTGATTCATACACTTTTCAATAAGTTATAGCATTATAAAGTTAAAAATGTAAAAAATAAAATCGAGCATAAATACTGAATTTTCACACAAAAATAGCGTTTGGTAGTCATTTTCACTAAGAAGACAAGTTCAGAGGTAATTTTAATTCCCCCCCTGTGGGCAGATAAAGGGTCAAATTTACAAAAAAGATATACCAAATGATAAGTAAAGACATCAAGCATCTATATAAAAAAAATTTTTATTGATATGTTCATTTTTGAAAAAGTTATAGCATTATTAAGTTAAAATTATTTTAAAAAATTATTTTAAAAAAATCGTAATATTTTATTAACTTTGATGTCAACTTTCACCACGAAGACAAGTCCAGAGGTCAATTTTTTTTTTCAAATTAAAGTATATTACATAAGCTTTAATTTAAGATATATATAAAAGTGTCAGACCTTCCGGAATACTTTCAAAAGTTAAGTTGAAAAATTAATTTTTTGTAAAAAAGTTGTCATTTTAAATCCCCTCCTGTGGGCAGATAAAGGGTCAAATTTACAAAAAAAATATATTAAATGATAGATAAAGACATCATGCATCTATAAAAAAAAGAATTATATTGATTTGGTTATTTTTAAAAAAGTTATAGCAATTTTAAGTAAAAAAAATTGAAAAAATTTCGAAACAGTTTGTGTCGTTTTTTGAAAAGTAATTTTTATGTTGGTTCCTTTTACTACGGAAAACTTGTTCATACTGATTAAAATAGAAGTTTCATATTTTCTTTGTAATGGAAAGAAATGTAAATAAATCAAGAGTGAAAAATCTCTTTTCTTCAGACACCCCAACAATAACAAGTCAAGGACACGCACTCCGCTTTGCGTTTTTATATTGTTTTAATAGCAGATGCAAAAGTGAGTATTTTTAAATAAACGAACTCTTAGGCCTTTTATCTTTTTCGTGATTATTTTTTGTGCGTAAACTTTTGTTTTAATCCTAGATTATGGATTCAAAAATTTATTAAATTTGATTTATATTTAGTTTTGAAAATGCCAACTTTCCAAAAATTTTGGAAATTGTGTTCACTTTTGCTCGTCACTGTATACATATTATATGAAGAAATATATATAAACGTGATATAATGTAACATGCGAAAATGAGAAATGAATAACAAATTGATTTTATAAAAAAATTAATCATGCTTATTTATCATACACTGATTCCATTGAGTCTGACATTATTGAGTTTAATTTATACTAATAATCAATATATATTAGTAAAAGTTATCACTTCTGTCTACCATCCTAAGAGAGTAATTTAGGTTTCTTACAGAAAAAAATATATTAGGTTTAAAAATATATATACATATTATTTTACTATTTATGTAGTAAAATAAATTGGTTTTATCCCTTTAAAGATAAAATTAACTTTAAATATTCATTTACTTAAATAGGAATCCTTTTTTAACTTGAGCAGGCACGTAGCCAGAAAATATTTATTGGAGGGGCCAACAATTTTGGGCCCTTGTATCATTTTCCATAATTTGTTTCCCGTGAAAAGCTTGTGGGGGGGCTCCCTCCACTTCTCCTTAGACAGTATCCCATTCTATGAATCTTACAAGTTCAAAATTATACCATTGGTTGGTTAAAAACAAATTGTTTTCGTATAAAGTATACTAATTATTACAGTATTATAAAAAACCCAGCACAGGGGGGTCGCGGCACAGTGGTGACGTGGCATAGTTGGATCAAGTATAATGATATCTGACAGTGATTAAAATCACTATCAAAAAAAAACGCTTCGATGCAAATCTTTAGATAGTGTTTAATTTTAAAAAATTGGTGGATTATTCCAAAAGCTTCATAAACTGCTAGTTCCTTATTAATATCCTGATTAAGATAAAGTATGTCGAATAAAAAAGGGATTATTAAAAAATAGTATTTCCCATAAAAAAATTATATTGATCAATACACTTTTCAATAAGTTATAGCATTATAAAGTTAAAAATATAAAAAATAAAATCGAATATTTTCACACAATAATAGCATTTGGTAGCCATTTTCACCGTGAAGTCAAAATAAAGTCCGAAATTGTTTTTTACATAATAAAGTACATTATATTAGCTTTAATTTAAGATATATATAAAAGTGTCAGACCTTCCGGAACATTTTCAAAATTTAAGTTGCAAAAATTAATTTTTTGTGAAAAAGTTGTCATTTTAAATCCCCCCCTGTGGGCAAGTAAAGGGTCACATATAAAAAAAAAATATACCAAATGAAAGGTAATGATATTATGCATCTATATAAAAAANACATATAAAAAAAAAATATACCAAATGAAAGGTAATAATATCATGCATCTATAAAAAAAAAGAATTATATTGATCCATAGATCTTTCTAAAAGTTATAGCATTATAAAGTTAAAAATATAAAAAAGAATTTTTTTACAAAAATCGTATTTTTTTTATTAACTTTGATGTCTGTTTTCACCATGAAGATAAAATAAAGTCCGAAATTTTTTTAAATAAAAGAGTACATTAATTTAAAAAAGTTAAGTGGAAAAAGTTAATTTTTTTTTAAGAATTCTTTTTAAATACCCCCTTGTGGGCAGGTTAAGAGTTTTAATGCAGTTTTAAGCAAAGAAAAATTAAAAAATGTCAAAAATTAGCGATTTTGACATTTGTACTTTTTTGGAGGATTTCCTGCATTACAGGGTACGAGAGAAACGTTTTCAATTTTTGAAGGTAATGTCTTACTAGATGCGATTTGTGATCTTTTGATGTTATGTTCATCAAAATCGGTCCAACGAGAGCTGAGATTTCACAGATACAAAAAAATATAGTTATAGAACACTATATATTTTTTTAATTAAAAATTACAGAATCTACAAATTAATAAAAATACCCCCTTTAATTACCAAACTTCCCCCTAACTACTCTTTTAGTATACCCCCTTAATTACCAACTCCCCTAACTTTTAGTATAACCCCTAATTCCTCTTTATTATTCACCCTTAATTATTCATTACCCTTAGATACTATTTTTCTCTCCCTTAATTACTATATTTCACATCCTGAATTAATAATTATTACCCTTAAATTACTGCATCTCACAACCTTAATTACTAATTATTCCTATTTTCTCTCCCTTTATTACCAATTACACTAGTTTACAAAAAAAAAAATTTTTTTTGTTCATAAAATGCGACATATATTATTAATGTAAGCTACAGTAGGTAGTTAAAAAAAAAAAAAATTTTCCCGCAGCACGTCACGATTCTGAGATAAGAAAGGTCTTTGTTTTTGTCTACCTGAAATTCTTCACATACATTTATCGTTTCATTTTGTTAACAACTTGTGTTTCAAAAGTCGTAATTTCCTATAAAAATGTCGTTGAGAATATGTAAGCTAGATCCATACAGATTTTGTTATGTTTGTGGCAAAATTGTTCAATTGAATCGAGGTTTTTCTATAACAAAACCATTGCAAGAAGCGTATCTACATTATTTTGGATGTGCAGTATCAAATCAAGATAAAAATTGGGTTCCTCATGTAATTTGCAATAACTGTAGATTGGTCCTCAGGTTCTGGTTTTCAGGTAAAAAAAGATCTCTGAAGTATTGTAAACCAATGATATGGAGAGAACCAACTGACCATTTAACCGATTGTTATTTGTTTAACAAAAACTTTCGGGTTTAATTCGAAAAATAAAAATAAAATAAAATATGCA